GCTGAAGAGCTTAACAGTACTACAGAGTCTTTGTAGACATTAGGTATGAAATACTGGAGAAGTCAATGGACATAACACAGTGCTTAATAGAAACAGAAAATTAGTGATTCGTATTTGCCTGAGCTAAGCATGAGCCTCTGTAATGTCTTGATCTTTGTGCAAAGACCTAGTAAGAAGAGCAATCTTAACAGAAACCTTAAATGAGAAATAGAGATTTTCATGACAAGCAAATATCACTGGAAGGATGAGATGTTGCCCATTCCTTGCAAAGAAGAGAGATAAAGCCTTTTATTTAGTTTTCTTGACAAATAAATTGTTTAAAAACATCAATGATATCTCCCTAGTTTATTTTAAAAAGCCATAACACACGTATATTAGGAAATAGAATACTACGTGGAATAAAGGCAAGTGTATTAATGATTGCTAGTAATTTTTCAAAATATGTTAATGAAGCATTCTTTTTTTAAGCTCACTGTATGCTGCTTTTCGTGGTTTGAAGTCCGGAGATCTATTTTTCCATGTGGTGTTAGAAAAGGAGTGTTTTGAGAAAGCACTGCACTATTAGCTTCTATACCACTTGCCTGAATTGTTTTTATAGTGCATCAACCATTTTATAAAGTTGAGAAGAAAATATATTCTTCATATGGATAATGTAATATGCAGATGTGTTTGGGTTTTTTTTTTTTAATGCTTGATGTCTGGAGGCATACAATCTTTATAATACTGTATGCTTTCTATATGTGTAAATTTGTTAGTAGAAGGTACTACTGAGATAAGCTTGAAGTGTAAAATGTTGTGTGGTTTTGCAGGTGATCTCTTTCAGATCTTTTTTTATTTGATAGAAAAGGTTTGACTGATTAGGCAGTCTGCTATGATAATTCTAGAGGTTAACTTTCAGGTTGAACATTCACATTTACAAATGTGAAATTTGAACTTAAGTTTTGAGAAGTAGAAGTTGACTACCAGATCACATCAAATTGAGTGGGTGATATTAAATGGTACATGTACTACATAAACAAATGATTCTATTAAAAACTGGGTTTGTATGTGTACTTCAGCTGTGTGAAAAATGCTATTAGTTCTTTTTGCTTTGTTTTAGAGGGTCTTTGCTTTCATGTTTTTATTTGGATATTCGAGGTTGATCAACACTTTGCTGTTAGTATTTTTTAAATGGCAGTCTCACTGGATGTGGGGTGAGGATGCATATCTGCCAGTTCTCTGCCTGTGCTATATGCTGGAACACTGACAATCCAAACAGGTTGGAAAAGGGAGTGTTGCTTCTCATGATGGTGGTGTGGGCATCGCACCTCAGATGACTGTTATCACTGGAGAGGAACTTTTTATTTGTACATTTCTAATTGAAGTCGCACAGAGGCTGATTTGGGTTGTTTAGATGGGTAGCCTCCTTTTGTTTTGGAAAAGGTTTGCAGTTGTTGTTAATTGATACATAATGGATAATATCAGCAATGGAGTGTGGGATAACTAAGTTCAGTTACTGGCCCAGCAGGGCGGCACTGAGGCCACTGGAAGATGTCATATGCTGTAGGTAAAGTGGGCTTTGCAGTTGCGCACATTGATTTCTGTAGAATAAGGGAAAAATAGTTATTAATAATTTGCAGATGAGATATTGATGGGGCATATGCTGTTCTGTGAAATTGCATAGTAGTTAGAGCGATACTCACTGTGCGTGAGGATAGAAGGTCAGATTGTGTACAGTCATTCATGTACCTTTGGCAAATTTGTGGTGGTACTTCCTGTATATATAGCCATAACTTGGAATGTGGTTTTGATTGATGGGTTGGGTTTGTTAGAAGAGTGTGTATAAACAAGGAAATGGCTTTAAAGAAGAGACATTGATTTTATTTTTATAAAAATAAAACACATTTTGTTACCTTTTTTCTTTTTAGACATAATGACAAGTTATCCTTGGAAGGTATGAAAATTGGTAATGACTTTCCCCTGCATCTCCTGAAGTAGCATAGAAGTAGCAGGCTAAAGAATTCTATTTCTTTTTTAGATCTCTCACACTACTGAATTATGTATGTCTATCTATTGTTTCTCTGTGTATAGATGATTTGGATAGTTAAAACATTTATGTTCTTGTTTTAAGAATATGAATATACAAATGTAAGGTATTCTTAGCATTTGTGGATCATATTTTTCTTACTTTGAAATGTGTGAAAAGGATAAAAGACCAGTAAGAAATTTACTATTAATATTAGCTGCATTTACACCACTAAATTCTCTTGAAGTAATTGTTCAACATACTGCTTTTAAGAGTTTAATCTGTTTTATGGATCTCCTTTTAGCTGTAAAATAGTACAACAGACAGAAGAAACTTTTCTTAACCATCACCACGTTCCAGAACTTCACTTTGGGAAATTGGATAGACTTACATAGTTCCGAACTGTTTGGCTAGGAAGCATGCTGCCTCTGATTTTGACATAATGTGGAACGAGTTGGTTATTTGCCTCCTTACATAACGTATTTGTTTTTCATTAAACATTCTGATAAGGTCTTATTAAAGTACCATGTATTATTTATGGTATTTCATATGAAAATGAGGTGAAGGAAAAATTTTATCAGCTTAGGGCATTTGCAGAATAACAGCCTTTCTCTGCTAGGAAAAAAAAAAAAAATGAAGAAAAGCATGACATACTCCTGTCAGAACAGGAGACTGCTTAAGGCAGAGAGAAAGAATGAAAAAAGAAGAAAGGGCGTAGAGAGAGTTCATTTCTCCTTCTCACTCACTCTTGCTCTGTGGTGTGTGGGGAGTTTTTTGCTGGTGGTTAGATTTCTGGGTTTTTTTGTTTGGGTGGTGTGTGGGGGGTTTGGGGGGTTTTTTTGTTTGTTTGTTTGGTGGTTTGTTTTTTGTTTTGTTTTGGGGGTTTTTTTGGTGATAAAGTAATCTGTGCTGTTCTGTATTCAGGCTGTTCTAGTAGATCAGTCCATGATAAACTGCAAAAGCATGGATGTTTCCTAAGCCAAAGCCAATTAAGTTTGTGCATGCTTGTTTTGGTGTTGGTTGCGGAGTTCTAAATGCATTGGTTTTGTTGCATTGACTGCTTTTGAGAAAGAAAGTGATGTAATTGAATCTGCTGGAAAATTTTCGGTTTTGTGTGAAGAAGACTTAGTGGATCTAAATCAGTCTCTGAAGCTTGTGTGGGTGCAGGTATGTGTACGCACATGTAGAATGAAAAAGAATATGTTTTTTTTAATACAGTGCCTGAGTTTCAGTGACATGTTTTGTATCTGCTTCCAGTTAAGTGAGGACTATTGTTAGTTTTTAAGGGTAGAACTTAATATTAAACCAGTTACGCTGTTGATGACATAGACTTCTCTTGTATGTGGGTTATTTATTTATTGTTGTTCATGTTAAACTCTTGATCCTAAGATGTGTTTTTGTGGGAGTTAGATATCCTGTAAAATAGGCAATTTTAAAATCTTCTGCAGAGTCTTTTTAAAGATCTCCCCCACAAAAAAAAAAAAAAAAAAAAAAAACCCAGGGGTTGCTTCCCAAAAAAAAAAAAAAAAAAAAAAAAAAAAAAACCTCAGGTGTTGCTTTGAGGTTTGACCTTCTTTTCTGAAGAATTAATATTTAATTCATTTGTTAGATTCCAATTAAAAATAGTAGTATCTTCTGTTATACTTGAGTTGTATCAAAGGAAAAAAAAGAGACCTGTAATATAGGACCTCAAGGACAATCTGTAATATAAATTATTTGATTTGCAGGTCACATCCTACTTTATTACATAAAGACTAACTAGATCTACTAATGAATAATTATTACTCCATAAAATAAAGGGGGGAAAAAGAAAAAGCCTGCAAGAGTGGAATGCTAATTTGAGGTATCACTCTCAAAGTAAAAAGTAAACATTAAATTCTGAAAATTGCAAAAGTAATTTTTCCATGTAACCTGATAGGGCAGTCCTTTATAATAGATTGACTAGCTGTCAAATAAATTTGTAATTTTAGATGAGATGGGGTTTAGACCAATTTTAAGATACAGTCTTTCTCCAAGTCTGCTCCCCTCCCCCCAGTAAAGTACGCACAGTGTGCCACAGAATTTTGTTTCATTCCTAGTGTTTCTGCTGCAGTGGTTACACAGATACTTCACAGTTTCACTGTAATGCTTTTATAGGCTTCTCTGGAAAACTGGATGGTGAAAGAAGAGTAGGTATAAAATTTACTTGTATTTTTAAAAAGCTCATTTACTGATAGCACTGTGTATTTGCTGGAATCCTCTTGACTAGCCAAGATTCTTTCCCTTCCCCACTTTGTGCTTCATACTTTTGTCCTTAGAAGGGGAAAGCCCTTTTTATGTCAGGTGGGAGCCCTGGGAGGAAAAAAAAAAGAAGTGTGTGAATGTGTATGCGTGCGTGCAGAATCATAACAGGCATTCAGTCCCAGCTGGGCAATGACACTAATTGCCCAGATCTCATGGATGCCTGTGATGCAGCAGGCTCACTTTCTCTCCTTCCCTATCCTCTCCAGGGATTTTTAAAATGCAGTATTTGAATTTTGGTGAGTGGTAAAGACCCTGCCCTAGGACCCATTTGACAAATGAGAAGCTGTGCAGCATCAGCACCAGCCGACTGAGCCTCACTGAGTCAATCTCTCTCTCTACTAGTCAGCAGCTACTGTTGTGAGACAAGCTTCAGCTCTCTCTGTCATTGAGGAAGTTGCATTTGCTCATCAATAGGCTGCAGGCTCTGTCTTCTTTTTTTCCTCTCTGTTAAAAATTCGTAGTTTCAATCTACCAAGTTGCCTTAGCTGACAAATGAATGTAGGGATCTAGCACTGGGGGGGGGAAAAAAGGCGTTCAAGAAATACTGTTTCTTACTGAAATAATCGAAAGGAAAAAATCCTAGTGACAAGATAGGGCAAACGTGCTTGCATGCAAGCCCCCTCACTTGTTCTACGTAGACTTCAGAACAACACCATGCAGCATCCCCTTACGGGTGCAACCTGCGTGGCACTGCCGAATGTGGGCATGTGTCCCCAGCTCTCCTGTGCCTTGACTTTTATGTACTTACAGCAGGTAAGTTTGCTTAACTTTTTTCTTTTCCTATAGTGTCTGCTTTGTCGGCATCGTTTGGGGGATTTGTAATCTTGGAGATATTTTTTTGTGTGAGTAGACTGTATAAATGTCTTCCTCAGTATGGAGTGAATGTTGTGCCTGCACTTAAGAATGGTGAGAGTGAGCAGAAAATATGTTTTAACAGAGCATCAAGCCTTTCCTTTTTTTTTTTTTATTTTTTGTGCAGTGTCTTTAGTGTTGCTGTTTATAGATGTTTAACACGGTACTTTGACTGCATTTCTCGTGGATACTGTGTCAGAGTTTCAGCCATAAAGGACTGTTCTTTATTCACTTGCAGGCATAAATTATACTTCTAATGTAAATGTGCCCAATGGCAATTTTGTTTAAGCCTTCTTTGAAGCCAGGAATTTTAAGTCTGTGTTGAAACATGCTGCTGATTAAAATCAAGCTGATTTTTAGTTCACCAAAAAAAAGAGAAAAATATTAAAAAAAAAGATTTGTAAAGCTATATGTGTACAGAATTAACACTTCTACCACTGAAGTATATTGGAATGGGTTTAAAAAAAATGTTCTGATATCAGCAAAACAATACCAATTTCTAGTCCATTTTTATGTTTATTCATTTAGTATAATTTTTGCTACTAGGGTCTAGTATTTCTACCCCTCTCCCTCCCCAAATTATTTACTAGTTGGTACTCTCTCTCTGTTATAACATGAAATAAATAACTGGATAATAACACATCATTTTTTAAACTAGTGTTTTGGAATCATCATTGTATTCTGTCTCTTTTACAACTGAGTCTGCTGTTATTGAGAGTCATCTAGGAAGTATGTAGAGCTAAGACAGAAATATGTTATCATGCATAAATGATTAATCCTGTTTATTCTGTTACTTTCTGTTGAAAGTTCAGGGAAGAAAATTCTTGTGCCTACTGTAACAAATAGGGGCATTTCTTCCAACTTCCACTACAATAGTTTATATGCATATTGACTTCCAGGAAACAGTCTCTTAACTTTATTTCTGTTTTTACAAATGCCTGCAAGATGTTTTACAGTATTTCTTTTTGTTCTTAAAGATTAAATAAAAAAGATTTAGAGCATATTTTTCTTTTTGAATATTTATTTTATATTACTGCTGAAAGAACAGAACTCAAGTATTTACAGGACATAAACCCTTCTATAGCTTTTTTTCTCTTCAATGGTGTAGTATAAACCATTTCTGATTTACAGCCAAGGAGAGCATAATTAAAGATTCTTGTATATGCCCTAGATTATACATGTATGTGGGAGGGATTCATATGTCTTCAATTAAAATTTGCATCAGATAAATACAATGTTTTTAATATGTAAATAAATTGTGTGTCATAATTAATATGTATGTTCTTAGTAGTTCTGTATTCTGGATACGTTTTGGAAATGACATTTATAGAGCAGCTTTAATGTTGCAGTGTGACTTGTGCACTTACTGGTTGTATACAAAATGTACTCCTGTATTTTGTTGGATTTGTTCCTTTGAGTTTGCCAAACAACAGTTTCTATGTTAAAGATCCAGCTTTTGAAAGGAAAAATGTGAATTAAGGTGAGAGGTCAACATGGCCACACGAGGAGCTGATAAAGGATAACATAAAGATGAGGTTAGGTGCTGTAATAACCTTCCTGTGCGAGCTATTGCAGTATCATTATGCAAACACATCTATAGTATGGCACTGCTTTAAGCTTTAAGAAACTGTGCAACCATAATGATTACTTTAAAATAGTGAATTCAATTCCATCTATTCCATTTGAGAGAAAGATGAGAAGTGATTGCTAATGCACTTTACAAAGTGCTATATCTAGTGGATAATTTTTAACTCTTTAAGTGGATTAACTGCCACACTGAAAGTATTTTTTTTTTAACTGTTGGCTTTTTCATCTCGTTAATCCTATTGTCAGTTTAGAATCATTCTGCCTCTACTAATCACAATTAAGTTTAAAAGTCATCCGAATTCCTGATGATAATTTTGGCAGGTTCAAAATTCTGTGCTTGTTGCTTCTTTTGATTGCTGGTTGGCATTTTAGTTATTCTAGATTCCTAGAGAGTCAGATAATTATTGTGTTATTTCAGATATGATTTATTGTTTTATGTATTTAGTTAAGCATTTCTTGAGAGACAGTTACTTTATCTCAAAATTTTTCAGGAAGGAAACTGTGTTGACGTTACCTATGAAGCTAACATAACATGGTTCTGGTTTTAAATAGGAAAGGATAAGAAGTGGTTTATATTTTTAAAAAACATTAATAAACTTTTACCATGACAGTCTACTTAGGATTTTTTTTCTGTTTTTCCCATATCTGATAATTTCTAGCAAAGCTACGGAAATACCTGTTTTGTGCGTTTAGTGCAAATATCCCTATTTCACTGCAACTGTAAATATTTTTCTCACTCTAGAAGGTTGTCTATTGATCTTAAATACTGGTAACCTAAAAGCTTTATCTGGCAACTTAATAACTAGTGATTCCCCCCTGCCTGTGGACCTTAGGATCAGCAGTATATAGACATTATGTGAGCCTATCAAGTGTTTTTTTTCCTTTAAAAATCGCACTTCATTTATGTCTGCTTACTTGCACCTCAATTAAAATGAATTCAGACATTTGTATTACAGCTGAGCTCTCTCAGTTGTTAAACTTTGCTATTTAGAATCTATGAAAAAGTTTATTCTCTATTTTTGTGTGTATCTGCTAAATCTGCTAGTATAAAACATTGAAGTTTTATAATTAGATATATGTCTTTCCTGAGAGACTATAAAAGGCATTATGTTCTTCTCAGGATGGGCAAACTAGTCTTCCTGACAACAAATATTTATGTAGCCATGAGGATGGTAGTTTTCTGTGGAGCTCTACTAATGATTTGGGAAAATCTGTGTTTTGGTAGTCATTTAAAATTGGCCATTATTTATTTGCTAAACTAACACTGCTTGGTCACTTTGTTTAGTATAAATGGATAAATTGTTTTCCACAGTGAACCAACAGAAGTGCTCTACTACTTTGTCCCAATGTTAGAAACTTAAGCATTTCCTCTGATATCTTCCAGATTATGCATGTATCTATTGTTTTAAGAGTTAACTGAGGAACTATTTTTTTTTTAAAACAGTTTGTGCATAAAGGATGCTTTACCTAAAAACATTTAAAGCTTAAGCGTTGAAAATAAAGTTGGAGATAAGGCCTAGTTCACATTATAGATTGTCAGTAGGATATTCACTTGAAAAAGACAGCACTAACTGAAGGATGCTTCCGAGTTAGTTAAGCTATTTGAAATGGTCTGAAATTATTTGGATGTTTTTACTAAGATCCTTCTAAGGTTAGGAATCCAGAAAGAGTTTTCAAACAACATTAAAACCAAAATGACTGTGTCAGGGGCAGCAACGAACTGAAGGGAGGATATGTGGTTTTGATTTGGAAGTTTTTACTACGTCATTATAAAGATAGGGACAATTGGGAAAAGTGTTTGGGTTCGAATTTGACCTAGCGTCAATATTTAAAGATACCAGAAAAGGGAACGCAGATTCATAGTGCACCCTGTCGTTTGGTGATATTTTATGGTGTTAGAAACAGATAAATACATTTGTTTTCTCCTCCTTAGTACAACACATCAGTGCAAGAAATGATTTCTGACCACAAGCTTGCATCCAATGCTAGTGAAATAATATTTGCAGCAAAATTTTGACTGCCCATACATTGGGATTTAGCCTATATTAATGGAGGCTTAGTTCTGTTAAATGGTACTTCCCCATGATATGTGTTTGCCTGACGTAGGGTTATTTAGTTGGTATTTTCTGAGTAAAACAACAAAGTCAACTGTTTTTTTGAAACATCACATAATATTCCATGTCATAGTGTACAGTGGTGCTGTCATTATTTAAAAATTGGTAATTTTTTTTTCTGTTTAATGATGATAGATGTGCTTTGTTTTAAATAGTGAAGTGGTTTGTACAAAGGGTAATTCCTCTTAAATGGAGCAATTGCTCATAGTGGACATTCACAGATCGAAAACAATTGAACTGAAACTTCAATATCAACCTTTTCTGTCTTTAACAAGAAAGTAGTTCACGGTACAGCTCTCGTATCAATGATGAAAAGAATCCACCATGAAAACAAACAAAAACCAACAAACCCTCCATCTCTACCCCAGCTATTCCATTAGTGCTTACACGGTAAATTAGTGTAATTTTATTTGGGCCTTAAGCATTATGACTATGGAGAAAAGCTGAATTCCCCACTCAGTTACTTATGTTATGCTTCTGGATCTGATGATTTATAGGAGTCTGAAAGACTTTTTATCACATTCTTTCTTCATGGCTTAATTCAACGTTGATTTATTTGGTAGCATTTTCAATTGATGTAGTCAATAGTGTCAATAACGGAATGAGGATTAGAGCAGATTATCTTTGTGCTAAAATTGTGTAAAGAATTAAAATGGATGAACAATTCCTGGATACAGTTTACCTTTTTTCATGGAGCACAAGCACATCAATTGCTGAATGCCACCATTGCAGTTACAGTTCTAAGTATGTGTCTTTTGCATTTTATGCTTTAATGAGTCTTCGAAGGATCAAGTATGGTAGTTGAATTCAATAACTGATGTTTATGATGACTCTGTTCAAACCTATCATGAGAACACTACCTTTCTTTACCTAGTCCATTTGTAGTACTTTGTGGCTCTCCTGTAAAATCAGTTAATCTGACTTAAGCTCATGAAAATTTTAAACATCTGTTAGCTTACAAATTGGAGTCTTTGCACAGTTTTCTTCCCCAGTCTGCTATTTCATGGCAATTTTCATGTGAGAACATAAAACCTCTGCTTATGATTGCATGAGAGAGAAGAAGTCCACATTACTAATGCTCACTCACCATCTGTTTTTCTTACAGTTGGGCCTTGAATAATTGTCCAGTAGCTGATGGACTGAGGGTAGGCAATCTTTTCAGGGTTTTCGGATTCATTTAACCAGCTGCACTGCCCCAAG